AAACAAGACAGTCCATAATAAAGTCAAATTTAAACAATATACGTCTACAAATTCTGCCCTACAGAAGGCAGTAGGAAGAAAACTCTAACCCAAGTAGGTTAACAACACCTATGAAAACACAAAAAATAAATAATTTCACAACAGTAAACTTTTTTAAAAGATTTATTTATTTATTATGAATACAGTGTTCTCCCTATATGTGTCCCTGCAGGCCAGAAGGGGGCACCAGATCTCATTACAGATGGTTGTGAGCCACTATGTGGTTGCTGAGAATTGAACTCAGGTCCTTTGGAAGAGCAGGCAGTGCTCTTAACCTATGAGCCATCTCTCCAGCCCCACACCAGCAAAATTAAAGAGGGAAATACACACTCACATGTGCACTCTCTCTGTTTCTGTCTGTCTGCCTGTCAGTCAGTCAGTCTGTCTGTCTGTCTGTCTGTCTGTCTGTCTGTCTGTCTCTGTCTCTCTCTCTCTCTCTCTCTCTCTCTCTCTCTCACACACACACAACACATACACACACACTACTACCACACAAGCAACAACAACAACAACAACAAAATAACAGGAATTTACAGTCCTTGGCTATTAATATTTCTAAATATCAATGGACTCAATTCCCCAATAAAAAGGCACAGGCTAACAAAATGGATGAGAAAGCAAGATCCATCCTTCTGCTGCATACAAGAAACACACCTTGACATCAAAGATAGATGTTACCTCAAAGTAAACGGATAGGAAAAGCTTTTCTAAGCAAATGGACTTAAGAAAAAAGCTGGTGTAGTCATTCTAATATCTAACTAAATAGACTTAAAACCAAAATTAACCAGAAGAGATGGGGAAGGACATTTTATATTCATCAAAGGAAAAATCCACCAAGACGATCTTTCAATTTTAATATCTATGCCCCAAATGCAAGGGCACCCACATTTGTAGAAGAAATATTACTAAAGCTCAAATAACACATTGATCTATTTATGCATTGACAGTGGGAAACCTCAATAACTCACTCTCACCATCAGACAAGTCATCCAGCCAAAAAAATGAACAGAAATGCTGGAGCTAACTGATGCTATAAATGAGTCTTGATTTATTCAGTACCAAAATGTGAAAGCAAAACTACAGTGTTCATCTGGAAAACACAGGAAAATTTTTAAAAAATAACCAAACAAACCAAAATCCCCAAGTTTTCTTAAAATGCCAGAAACCCAAACACAGACTGTGGTTGTTTGAATGAAAAAACAAAAAAACAAATCCATAGGCTCATATGCTTATATTTAGTCACCAGTTTATTGGGTTGTTTGAAAAAGATTAGGAAGTGTGGTCTTATTGGAAGAGGTGTGTTACTAGGAGTGAGCTTTGAGGTTTTAAAAGATTTGTGCCATTCCTAGCCTCACTTCCATCCTATTGAGGATCAAGATGTGAACTCTCTCTCAGCTGTTCCTGTGGCCATGTCTTTGCTCCAGTAGAGACTTTAACTCTTTCAAACCATAAGCCCCAAATCAAGCACTTTCTTTTGTAAGTTTCCTGGTTAATGATGTTTAATCACAGTAATAGACAATTAAGAGACACTGTTGGATTGATAACACCAATTTACATATTGCTTTTTACTATGAATTAAGAGATTGATATATATTATATTATATAAATTTATAATAAAGCTTAATATATTAGGAAGCATTCATATATATTAAGAGAGTGCAATAATGCAATGTCAGGAGGAATATGGAGCCATGACCTTCATTTGATTTGTTCATACTTCAAGACTTAATGACTTTTCTGGTATTACACACAAACACATATTTGCATATGAGAAATTAGAGATCAAGCACAAACAAAGAAGTATATTTACAACACAATAATTATCTGAAAAATAAGGAAGAGAGAGAGAGAGAGAGAGAGAGAGAGAGAGAGAGAGAGAGAGAGAGAGAGAAGCAATTGAATAAAAAATGATCATTGGAACTACTAGGCAGCTCCCAGAACGTGGATGGCTAATGAAAGCATGCAAAGGCACTAAACCTCACTGATAATCAGAGATGTAACATTAAACTATAATGAATATCAAAAATACAAAATTCAAAAATGCAAACATCCATGGTCCTACCATAGCCAGGGTCTGTATTGATGTGCGTGGTCCATGTTGCCACCAAATGCCTGCAACCTGTGGCTGTGAAGGTGTCTGAGGACCATGCTGCTGTTGGGGCCATTCTGATACAGATGGCTAATGCTGTCACCTGGGGCCATGAAGGTGTCTTGGCTGGGGTGATGTCTATGGCTCCTGTTACCATAGGGCTTGCAGATGTCCAAGGTCTGGTCAGCCACCTGAGAACATGCTGCCACATGGACCATCATAATGGTTGGGTGACCTGTGTTGCCATTGGGGGCCATGGTGACATCTGGGCCTGAGCTGCTTCCGAGGGCCATGTCTGGGTCCTTGGTCCTATAGCAGCTGTAGTCTGTGATGATGTCTGTGACCTATGTTAGCATAAGGGTTATTGAAACCATGCCCTGCCCTTTACTGAGCAAGGCCCTCCCTTCACTCGCCCTGGGATAGCTGACCCTATCCCCTTGCTGGATACCTTAGCAGGAGAGCTAGCTCTGCCCCTCAGAGAAGAACAGCACCCTCTCCCAAACTCGGAAAAGATGGTTCCACCCCTCACCACAGGCATGCCCCTCACCTGGGAAGCACATTAGAGATAACCCTATGGTCAGGGACACAGGTGAGTTAACCCTGAGGTTCTAAGAGCAGAAAAGCTGATACCATCCCCTCTCCATGTGCTCCCTACAGCAATCGAGAGAGAGGGCCCTATATCTAGCTGGATGAAGCAGTAGAACTGATTCTGCTGGTGTGGATGACCCAGATCTGAGGACCTGAGAGCAGAAATGATTCAGTTCCTTGCAGCAGGCTGCACTGAGTGAGCTAGCCTGGGCAGTGCTGGAGAGCTAACCCAAGTAGTGACAATGAGGAAAAGCTGGTGGACCGACCAACCCTGCTACCACCCAGTCCAGAACCAGGGGTATGAACTGGCTCACCACAACATCCACGGTATCTATGAACTGTTGGAGCATGTAAAAGGAACAAACCTACAGATCAAAAACAGCAGGATTTCCATGACCCAGGACAACAACAGGATATTTAGGAGCTCCAGTGATAGCTCATTATCAGTGGAGTAGCAGAAGCCAGAAGCCTAGAGCCAGACCAATGAACTCATGAAAGAACAGATGAATGGACTAAAGGGCTTACAAACGGTGTGACTCAACACTACAGCTTCCACAACAAGATTCTTCTCCTTTTATTTTGTTTTGTCTCTGTTTTGGTTTTTTTTTTTTTGGTTTTTCTTTTAAATTTGGTTTTGTTTTTTGCGGGGTGGGTTGAAAGGGCAGAGGGCAGATGTGAGGGGACAGGGAGATAACTGGGATCAGAATGCATATGAAGTATACAAAGCATCAATAAAAGTTAAAAACCTTAAATAAATAAATGCAAGTATCAATGTTGGCAAGAGTGAAAAGGGCACTCATATTTTTCTTGATGAAGCAGGATTTGGTGTAGATTTGGAAGATGTAGTAGTATTACTTTAAAATCCCACATATGCAAAACCTGCACATTGCAAGGGGCCATTCCATCCCACCACACATGCATCATTAATACAACTGCTCTAAAGGTTTAAAAATTATCGTGTGTGTGTGTGTGTGTGTGTGTGTGTGTGTGTGTGTGTGTACACGTGTCTACCAGGGTGTCAGAAGAGCACATCAGATCTGCTGCAGCTGGAGTTACAGGCAACTATGAGCTGCCCAAAGTGGGTGCTGGGGATTGAACCCTGGCCTTCTGGAACAGCAAGTGCTTTCAACTGCGGGGCCACTTCTCAAGTGTTAACATGTTCTCAAATGTTCATAACAGTATTGTTAATAAAAATAAATATAAGCAGTGCAGGTGACCATAAATAGTACGTAGGATAAAGAATGTATATTTATAAATCAATGCACATTTCTATATTGGAATATTGTCTAGTTATGGAAGAAACTTCAAATACATGACATCAATATTGTCTAACTCCCTCAGCATAAGGTGATAAGCAAGCGACAGAAGAATATATAAGTATTAAATCCATCTAACATAAACCAAGACAAACTGGGCAGCAATGTAGTTTGGAAATGCATATATGGCAGCAGAAGACTTACTGTAACGAAAGACATTGCAGCGTTTACTCCCAGGGCAAAGTTTGTAAGACAATGTTCAAGGCATCTTTTAGCCTTAATAACACAGGTACTTTCCCCTCCATTGTTAGAATGTGTTGAATATTCTTCATATACATAAACTCTTCATAAACACATAGTTAATGTATTACACAGTAAAATAAATTTAACATGGACTTTAACTAGGCAGCCTTTTAGGTTTCTGTGATGATCTATGGTCAGGATCCCCCTTACCGTGGGCGTTATTTGGAGTTCCATCTGAGCAACAACATTGAGATTCCTGAAGTGGTAAATTAGACAGGAAATCCCGAAGGGAAATAGGGACACACTGACAGAGAATCACAGAATAGGTGACTAAGAAGGGGACCGTGATAGTGACCCCGGGCAATAACTGTGATTTTACTTGAAAGATTGCGTTCCAGCCCTGTTTTTGCCCTTGTCTTGGTCGCTAATTCCCTATTTCTTATATTGGTTTTGTAAAGTGTATCATAAAATTCAAACTCAAGGAAGATTACTTAGTAATTATAGTACAGTTGGGGAGACTGAGGCCATAGGCTGACGCCACTTCCCCATGGTGCCATCACCACTTTGGAACCTAAGACTCCCAGACCTGAGCACAGGCCCCTAGCAAAACTGTTCCCTTTCCTACCGGTTTGCGCTCACAGCTTGACATCACAAAAGACTCCGCCCCGTCATAAGCCCCGCCTCCATTGGTCCCCTAGCCCCGCCCTCTGTCTCTCACTCTGGCATGCCCCGCCCCGGTGCGCTTCTTCCGGCCCCGCCCCTCCAGGCTGCCATGACAACGATTCCGCGCCCCGCGCTCAGCTGCTGCTCGGGCGGGACCCAGGCTGGACCGCGGGCCCCGGCCTGGGGGCCACAGCTGCCACCGCCGCCGCCACTTCATCTCCTCCCTGTCCCTGTCCCGCCCCGCGTCTTCCCGCTGCACTCGGGCCGGAGGCCGGGGTCCCTCCCCGCCGCACCACCCTGCGCGGATGCCGAAGGTGAAGGCGCTGCAATGCGCCCTGGCGCTGGAGATCCGCTCTGTGAGTACTGGGCTGACCCTGACCCACCCCAGCCTCAGCGTCTGCCGCCCGCCTCTGGCCCTGGGGACCCCTGGAAATGTCAAGTGCCCGCCCACTCTAGCCTCGCGGGAGCCTTACCTCAACTTCCCGTTGGAGTGCTTTCAGATCTCTTCCACACCACCAGAGTTGCGCTCCCAGGGTAGTAGTTCCTTTTGAATTCCTCTTTACTCCTGTTCTGGTGACCCTTGTTCTCTGTACTCTTGGACCCTTGCTCCAGTCTGGGGGTGTGACATTTGAGCCAAATCCTGCGAGTTTTCAGATCCTTCCCCAAACTTTCTGTTAGCGTAGGAACCCCTTTTCAATCAAGGTGGAGTCCCTAACTCCAAAAACAACTTACTTGTGGCGTCATTGCACAGGGTTTCTTGCCTTCTCCTCCCAGGACAGACCCAACTCCTTGGATGCCACTTCAGCTCTTCCCTCCAGTCCCCCAAACCCTCCTGATTTTCAGATGGGTTCCTTCTCATCCTTCCAGTCGTCCCACGAAACGAAAGTTTTCAGGACAACTTTTCAGGACAACTGCTACTTCAAGCTTGCAATTCCACTCACTCTGCACTTTCCTGGAAAGGGGATCTGTCCAGCTTCCTTCGGTAAATCCAACTGAGGCCAGGGAACTCCACCTGTCCTCCAGCGAGGGGGGGCTTTCCGGCTGTTGAGAATGCCCCACTCCCCTTGATCACCGCAGAGTTTCCTTCCGAGATTTTTGAAGTTCTTCCGTGTCATCCCCGAGAGACCCTTCTTACTTCCTTTTCCCTCCTTAGAGGAGAACTCTGGTTTTCTCTCATAACCCCTCCAATTCCTTATTCCATTTGTTTTCGTGCCTGCACCCTTGAAGTGCCCTCACATGGACTCAGCCTTCTTCTTGGTATCCCAGCATAAGAAGGGAGCATTCTCTGTCATTCTGCGGGTCTGCCCCAAGGAACCCCTTGCATTTTCTTCCCACAGAGCCTCAAACTAGCTTTTCTCTGCACTTACTCGCGCTTGTAGCACTCTTTTTCCTGACTTTCCTTCCTCTCATAGAAGTCGCAGCAGCACTGAACCTAAACCAGCAAAGAAGTTACAGAGTTCTTTCCGGTCTTTTGTTCAGCCTTAAGGAGAAGCGAGGGTGGGGCGAAGTGCAGCAGAAGTGGGGGGCAAGGGAGTTTCAGGGATTCAAGCGTCTGTTCACAGAGGTTTTTATGCAGTAACGCTATACTGTTCCTAGCTTTCTTTGTTTGCAATCACAAGTTGACTTTCTGGAAGCTTTCATTTTTTTTAAAATTTTGCAAAGAATGATTAGTTTACCAAAATAATGCATAGTGATCTCTAAATGTGCTAGATCCCGGACAGTTAGTGAAACTCTTAAGTCCTGTCTCTGTAGAGTTCGTCATTGGCTGCTGCTTTCTCTCTTTGTAACCAATGGTGTAGCAGCGTGACTTAAAGCAGCTTCCTGACAGGCTGGTTGCCCTTCTGTTACCCGTTCTTTGTTAAGAGGAAGTACTCTGTCCTGATTGTAGCACTAGGGAGTCAGAGATATTTTATTTCACTATGTTGCTTTCTTGGTATACATTTTACAGAAAAAAAGGGGGGGGGAACTATACCTCCGGAGTATGCGGGTGCAAATATTCCTATTTTTATAAACATTTGTGTTACAATATTTTGTAGTTCCCCAAGTTTTCTAAGACATTGCATTTCATCTCTTTATTTTGTGTGATGATGTACAAACGCTATATTTTCTGACCAGCAACAACCTTTTAAAAGACTCCAATGTTCAGGAGCAAAAATGACTATTAGCAACCACACAAGTTAAACAAGATTAATGATTTAATTGAACAACAGAGAAATCACAGGACCACAAATGTGTTTAATATCTTTTCGATTGTAATTTTATCTTAAAAATTTTAAATACATTTTCAATATATAAAGGTCAAAGCTGTAAAACGAGGAGCTCTATGTTAAACAAGTTTTTCACCTTGATATATCATGATAGATATAAACAGATACACACTCTCTTACTCACGGCTATCGGTAACCATTGTCATTGTCAGGATATAAACGTATATACACATTCTTTATACATGACATTTATTTTCTTATGCAGCAGGCAGAATATTATATAAACCAAACTACACTTTATTTGATGCATCCTGGAGATCACTCTGCATTTGTGAAGAGTACCGTCTTGTTTTCTCCCAAATTATAGTCATCCAGTGTAATTGGAAGAGCATTTTAATGAATGTCTTGCTTATGACCTGTGTACATTAATTTGGTTTGTCTGTTTATATGTGCATGTGTATATGCAAAATGCATTTGCTGAAAATGAAAGTAAATTGATGACACCATGATACTCCTAAATACTGTAGCATGCATATTCTGATATGAGTGTATTGTACGAAACCACGATTCCACACCATAATTGAGATATTGCACATAATAGTACATCTTAATATTATGTCCATATTAATGTTTTCTGAATTATCACAAAGATAATTTTTATAATTAACTTTTTAACCAAAATCCGAGGTTTATGTATTGAATTGACCATTTAATTGTTAGGTCTTATAGTCCATTTTGTTATAGAGAATTCTCTATTTCTGTGTTATTTTGTTTTCAGTGGATTAAGTTCACACATTCATGTCATTTCCCAGATCGATATTTAGAAGTGTCTATTATTATGACATTCCATTGTTCTTCTCATTGGAAAGGAACTGCTGTTCTGATTTGTCTCTCTAGATTAGTTTACCAGCACTGCAACTTCATTTTGGAGACATACAGTGTGTAATTTTTTTGTTATGTGTCATGCTGATCATGACTTTGAGATTTAATAATGTTGCATGTTTCAGTGGGTTGTTCCTTTAAATCATGGAGTAATATTCTCTTGTATATGCATATGATAATGTTCATTTAAAAATCATAAAAGTAAAATATATGTATTTGCAGTGTACAAAGTAGCTGTATTTTTTTTTTGCCATGACATGACATGCAATTAAGAGAGTAGAGAGGTATATTACTTACTTTTGTGTTGCTGTGATAAAATACTGTGCTCAAAACCAACTTAAGGAACTGAGAGTTTATTCTAGGCTATGAATTGAGAGGGATAGAATCTATCCTGGTGGGGAAGGCATGGCCACAGTCAGGTGTAGCATGGTGGCACGAGTGGGAAACTGGCTGGTCATATTTCCATCTGCAAACATGAAGCAGTGAGAGAAGAGGAAATGGGATGAGCCTGTATACCCTCAATATCTGCCCTAGCGATGTATGCTTCTTCTAGCAAGGCTCTGTCTCATCAAGGTTCCATCACTTCTCCCCCAAACATTGCCACCAATTAAAGACCACGTGTTCAAATGCATGAGATTATAAGATACATTTTCCTTGCAAACCAACACAGAGGTTTATTTGGGCTCATGGTATCAGAGGTTATCAGTCCACCATGGTGGGTAAGGCATGGAAGTAGGAGTGGCTTTGCCAATAACACAGATTATTTACTAGAGGACAGTTCATGTCTTTGCAGATCAAGAAGCAGACAGAGGACCAGAAGCAGGGCCAGACTATAGCAATATCACCAAATTGGGAACAAGTATTCAGAAGCATGAGCTGGTGGAGACATTTCTTATTTAAACCATAGCAGTTATGTTTTGATGTATGTATGAAGCAGTTTAACACGTCTGTCACCTCACAGAGTTTTATAATGAGAATATTTAAGATTATTGTTTTAGTAAGTTTCAAGTTTACACTACATTTTTATTAACTGTAATCACCATGTCGTGTACTATATCCACAGAACTTACTTATCCTGTCTGAAACTTTGTTCCTTTTAACCAACATTGCTATATTCCCCTCCATCACTCCCAGGTTCCTGGTAGCCAGCATTTTGCTTTATGCTTCTGTGAGTTTGAATTTTTAAAAAATATTATTTACAATTGAGATCATAGTGTTTGTCCTTCTGTGTCTGGTTTACAGCAGTTAGTATAACTCCCTCCAACTCATGCATAAATTGTAAATGCTAGATTATTTTTCATTTGAACTGTGTCAAATGTTTAGTTCATTTTATAAACAATGTTTATCCAGTGATGGATGCTTAGGTTGATTCCATGTCTTGTTGAATGGGGATAATGCTGCAATGAACATAGGTGTGCTGGTGCCCCTTTGGATATACATCTGGAAGTGGGGTTGCAAGGAAGTGGGGTTGCAAGGTAGTTATATTTCTCATTATTTTGGGATTCTTTATGCTTTTTTATAATGTCAATCCTAATTTACAGTCCCATCAGCATTCAAGGGTTTCCATTTATCCACACTTTTCCTATTATGACTAATGTGAGGTGATATTTTAGTATTAGATTTGTATTCCCATGATGGTTAGAGATGGATGCATCTTTCCAAGTACGTGTTGGCCATTTGTATGTCTCCTTTTGATAACTGACAATTCAAGTCCTTTACCCAATTTTAAAATTAGGGAAAAGTAGGGAGGGTTTTTTTGTCTTCTTGCTGTTGAGTTCTTTTAATCCTTACGTATATTTATATTAACCCTTTATTAAATATATAGTTTAATATGGTTTCCACATATTTTTCCATTCCATTACCTGTCTCTCACTCTGCTAATTAATTCCTTTGATATGCAGAAGCTTTCTGAGTTGCTGCTGTCTGTTCTATTAATGATGGTTATTTATTGTAGCCTGGTTGTGATTGTCATGGGTAAGGCTATAAAGAGTCATTCTTATCAAAGTCTTTCTTGGATGTTACCTTCTGAAGTGACCAGGCTCAGATAGAGAGCATCCCATGGTGTATTGTTGCCTGTTTGTTTTCTCTTGTGGCGAAATTTAATATTTTTCTCATTAATAAGTTTTATATAAGCTAGAGATCTCTACTTGTGGGTTGAAAGTGTGGCACCCCCCTCTCCAGTCTTACTCTCATGTCCACTTTTTGCTGCAGGGTTGTATTAGAAGATGTATCATGTGATGTTGTGGTTAAGATGAGAGAAAACAGCA